GAGTGCCCTACAGTCCACTCCTCTGCCCTTTCCAGGTAGGTGCTCCTGCCCTCCCCTCCTCACCCTCCCCTATGCCCTAGGTTCTCCAGCCACTCAGGCTGAAGACCTCAGGGAGTAATGACTAATCAGTCCTCCATGACTCCAGATTCCCCCACTTCAGAGGGACCGCAACCATCTGCCCATTTCACAGAACGGACTGATCCCAAGGCTCCCACGGCCTCATGGCAAAGTGGCCATCCTGTAGGTTGGGCCAATGATCTCCCCGGTGCCAGCTCAAACCTCTTCACAGAGCTGAGGCTGGTGGGGGGCCCGAGCCGCTGCCGGGCGGGCCGGGGGCGCCTGGAGGTCCTGCATGGCGGCTCCTGGGGCAGCGTCTGTGATGATGACTGGGACGTGGTGGACGCCAATGTCGTGTGTCGTCAGCTGGGCTGTGGCCTGGCGCTGCCCGTGCCACGGCCCCTCGCCTTTGGCCAAGGCCGAGGCCCCATCCTGCTGGACAACGTGGAGTGCCGCGGGCAGGAAGCCACATTGAGCGAGTGTGGCAGCCGGGGCTGGGGCATCCACAACTGCTTCCACTATGAGGACGTGGCCGTCCTGTGCGATGGTGAGCAGAAGCCTGTGGTCAGGAGGGCAGACAGACTGGGGCAAGCAGCAGGGCCGTGGGCTAGACCGAGCCAGAGGCTGCATTGCCTGGTGCCAGAGAAGAGCCCCTGCCTGGCTCTCCTAGCTCTGTGCATGCTTGGGCAGAGAGAAAACCAGCACCACTGCTTCCGTGGAGGGCCTGAGTGTCCCAGCAGGAGCCCTCCTCCTATGTTTAAAACCAGATGATCAGGGTCACACTGGTCATAAGCTCCACTTGGCAAAGAGCTGCAGTGCAGACTCTGAGAGGTTCTGCCCTTGAGAGCTGTTGTCCTAGTTATCAAGCAAATCGCCTGGCGGGCTCATGAAAACACAGTGCGGCCCCATCCCAGAGTTTCCCTGTCTGAGGCCTTGACAGGGCCTGAGAATGTGCATTTCTAACAGTTCCCAAGGGATGCGAATCCTGGTGGCCCTTACTTCCCTCATACCCCAGGGGTCCTGCTTTGACCCTTTGTGTGGCCCTGAGGGCAGGCACCTTAGGGGTCCATGCCCTTCTCCCCTTCACCCTTTTGGTGATCCCTGTAGCCTGCCACCCTGCTTCCTTCCCAGAATTCTTGCCCACGCAGCCCGCAATCAGGAAGGCGTTAATCAGTAGAGCACCCACTACAACTCTTCAGAATGGGAAAGGTAAGGAAGGGTGATGTTGGGGGACCACCTAGGTCATAGGAGAGGCATCTTCCACACCCTACTGTAGGCCATGAGAAGGGAGGGATTACAAATTTAAGTTAAAGACAGTGAGCAAGGCGGGGTGTGTGTGTGTGTGTGTGTGTGTGTGTGTGTGCAGGAGCTTCATCTAACAGGAGAGTCTGACATACAAAGCGATCATGACGTAGAAAGAGAAAATGAAAAGTGCTCTCAGAGGGACAGTTAAGAAGCAAGAAGTCCAAAGAAGGAAGAGGGTCCCATCCACCAGATCAGGGAGGGGTTCATGGAGCAAGAGTTACTGGAGCTGCACCTTGAAAGGTGAAGTTTTCATCAGGCAGTAGTAAATGAGGAAGCAGCATATCTTAGCCAGCTAGGAGAGCGCGGACAAGATAAGGGAGGGTTAGTTTTAGGCAGCAAATGACACAGCCTAAGCTGCTCTGTCCTGAGACCCCACAACTCCCCCAATCTGGACTGTGAAGAGGCAGCCTGGAGGGTAGGTGGGTGAGTGGCTCCTCCTGGGTTTTACACCCTGGGGCACTCCTGCGGATGAGTGGTTGGGTTAGGGACACTAGTGGCGAGGACCGGAGGCAGGGCCCTGTGGGAGGTACTTCCTACCCACTTCCGCCCCTGGTCCCTGGCCCCAGGTGAGGGCAGCGTGCGCCTGGTGGGCGGCGCGGGCCCGTGTCAGGGCCGCGTGGAGATCCTGCACGGTGGCCTGTGGGGTACTGTGTGCGACGATGACTGGGGGCTGCCGGACGCCACCGTGGTCTGCCGCCAGCTGGGCTGCGGGGCGGCCTTGGCAGCCACCACCAACGACTTCTTCGGCTACGGCACGGGGCACATCCTGCTGGACAACGTGCACTGCGAGGGCGGTGAGCCTCGCTTGGCAGCCTGCCTGAGCCTGGGCTGGGGAGTGCACAACTGCGGCCACCATGAGGATGCGGGAGCGCTCTGCGCAGGTGCGAGCTCCGGGGACCCAGTCGGGCCGGGCGGGGACCTGGGCGGTGCCGGGCGGGGGCGGGGCTTTGTCGCGAGTCTGAAAGGGGCGGACCCAGGCCTGGGCTGGGAGGACGGTTTGGCTAGCAGCCTTGGTGCTTCCCAAAGCTCTCCAGGAAAGCTCCAAAATTACTCAACTTAGCAGGCTCTAGAAGTGCTTCAGAACATCCCCGCACTCCTTGTGGTACACTCCACAGCTGTGTGACGATACTGCAGTATTCTTCCACCAATACTCCACAACTACATAGCAGTACCCTGAGAATGTCTCCAGAACTTTCTAGCAATTTCCAAGTTCTCTTCATAGAGTACGTCTAAATAATAATATTCTAGAATTGTCCCAAAATGTCCTACTCAGAATCCGCTAATGGTGGCAGAATTACTTAGCACAGCCTTCGGTAATGATGCGCTAATACTCTTTTCTCTCCACCTGGGCCCTCTCCAATTTGGGAGAACTTCTCAGTAAGTAGGAATAACAGGGCCAATAACATTATATCACAGATGGCCTCCACTCTCCTAGACAGTGTCTACTTATGATTTCCCGTAACTCGCAGCAAGCCAAAGGCTGTCATTCCCTGTGTATAGGTGGGAAAGCTGAGGCCCCAAAAGGCAGAACCTTAACTGCGGTCACACAGTAAGCCTGAGAAAGCCCCATGCCTCAACTTTACCTGTAAGATGGGGAGAATGGGTCTTGTTCTAAGCCTCTCCAGAAGTATATGGGCCTTACTGGTAGGTAAGGTCTTTTGTCCAAGTCTTGGAGATACTGGACTTCCGAGAACACTGGATGTTGGAAAGAAATGAAAGCTTGTCTGTTAAAGCCCTGGATACACTGCGAAGTATGTACACACCTGTGCAGCCCAAGTAAATTAACACAGTAGGGCAATCCTCTGTCTTGCAAGTATAAAATGTCTTTTGAAGGGGATCCCTTCCATCTCCTTACAGCCCATGACTGACCCTGCAGCAGAGCCTCACCCTATAACCTTGTTCCCTTCCTTCCTGCTCCAGTTCTGGGCCCCCCAACTCTTACAGCACTGCCACCCTCAGCCACAAGAGAGGACTGGGCCTGGCACACAGAGCCAGCAGGTAAAGGGCCCAGCCTTCCAGGCTGGAGTGATCTGGGCAAGGTGGGTGGGGCTAGGAACTGGGAAGGTCGTTCTAGCCAGATGGTAAAGAGGTGGATGAGAGAACGATGAGCAGATGGAGCAAGGATGGAACCCAGAGCTTGGAAAATTTCAGCAGTTTCAAGAGGAAGTAATAAGAAATTTCAAAGCGCTGGACTAAAACCTGGGTGGGTGCTGAGACTGAGTATTGAGAGGCCTCTTGAGGTGTTGAAATGAATCAAGATTATAAGGGAGGTTGGGCTGGCAGGTAGCTTGGTGGTTAAGGACATTGGACTCCCACACTGCTGACTATGGTTTGAGTCCTGGATCTGGTGGCTTGCATTCTCATTTTCCTCTCTCTTGCTGTTCCTCTCTGGTCAAATTAAATAAATATAAGCTAAATAAAATAATTTTTTTAAAAAAGTAGGTTGGAATTACGGTTGGAATGGGGATTGAAATTAGGGTATAGGATTCAACTCATTCCAGTGAAATTTCCCGGAAAGTCCACAACAAGCCAAATAATATGACTGGGATTGAGGCTGAGAGTGGGGTGCGCGTGTGGTACACAGTTGGGGAGGTCTCAGCAGGTGTCCCTATGTCTTCTTACAGCATAGAAGGCCCCCCTGTCCCTTTCAAACAGTACTCTGTCTCTGCAGCTACAGGAGCTGGTGCCCAGCCTTCTGGGGAGACCGCACTGTTAACCACAGCCGCCAGGGTCGTGGGGAAGAAAAGTAAGTGGCGCAGCCCGGGTCCTGCGGGAGGTGGGAGAGGGCGGCCGGTGCTCTGCCAGTGAGCCAGCCGCCCCAGCCCTGCCCCTCTGGCCGCGGGCCTCTGCGCCCCGCAGGCGGCCGGGGCTAGTGGGCGGCCCAGGCCCGTGCCGCGGCCGCGTGGAGGTGCTGTACGCCGGGGGTTGGGGCACCGTATGCGACGATGACTGGGACTTCGCGGACGCACGCGTGGCCTGCCGCGAGGCTGGCTGCGGGCCCGCGCTGGGAGCCACGGGCCTCGGTCATTTCGGCTACGGCCGCGGTCCGGTGCTGCTGGACAACGTGGGCTGTGCCGGTACCGAAGCCAGCCTGAGCGATTGCTTCCACCTGGGCTGGGGCCAGCACAACTGCGGCCACCACGAGGATGCCGGAGCACTTTGTGCAGGTAAGGCGGCGCGAGGGTATGCGCACTGCGGAGCCAGCAAGGCGGGACAGGGTGTGGAGAATGGGCGTGGCCTTACGTAGGCACGCACTGCGACGCGGAAGGGACGGGGCCGGACTGGGATAATGGGCGGGGCCGGACTGGGATAATGGGCGGGGCACCGCGTGGGCACGCGCGGTGGGGCGGGCGGGCAGGGCGGAGTCTGAGGGTTTAGGGGCGGGGCCGCGTGTGTAGCCTGTTCCTGCAGCGGGAGCGCGGCCTTTGGGGGGGGCGGACTCTGCCGTCGGGGGTGGGCGCGGTCTGCGGCTGCGCAGAGCCGGGGCCGGAAGGGCGCGTCCTCTGCAGTGGAGAGTAGGGCGGGGCTTGAAGAGGGAGCGCGCTGTGCGGTAGTGAGGGGCGGGATCTGACGTGAGACCTAAGGCCAGTTGGATAAAGAATGAAGTCCAAAGTAGTGTGTAAAGGGCCGGGCT